TAGATTACCAGGAAAGAGAGTCGCCAGATAATTCCACCCATTGACAGTCTGATGCTCGAAATTGTCTGCTGTCAACGCACTATCCAACGCATTTTACTCTTTCTCAAAACGAATAAGGCTAATGGTCCTAATGGATTTCCAATAATTGTTCTCAAAAGTGTTCACTAGAATTGACAACGATTCTCTGCAAATTATTCACAGTTTTGTAGTTGGGTATGTTTCGATCTTGCTGGAGAATATCTATTGTCGAACAAATCCTCAAAAGAGGACACAATTCTGCCCAATAACTAGAGGCCTATTGCCCTGTTATCCATCATCTCCAAAGTGATGGAGAAAGCCATCAACAATAAGCTGATCAAATATCTGTGAAGCTCAGGAATAATAATTGAAACATAGTATGGGCTCAGCTATCAGAGGTCAACTAGAGATTCAGATATAATCTTTAGTTATACCGGACACATTCGATTGTGTTTGGCACCAAAGACTCCTCTACAAACTCCTATAATACGGCCCACCATCTCAGCAATCCCATCGTTCATAGAGTTTTCTTTTAGGAAGATCTTTACATGTGCTGGTGAACGAAGAATCGTCTGATACCATAGGCATCGAATTCCGGCGACTAACAGAAAGAAGGCCAACGCTGTCTATGAAAGATTTTGTTGTAATTACAGCATGAGGAAGCAACATTAATGTTGAATTCAATGCCACCAAAACTCAACCCTGTATATTCTCTACAAAGGCATACCTCAGTATGTTTGATGTGTCAATGTCTGGGGTATAGTCTATCTGAAGTGAATTGTAGCGTCTCGAGCCGCACGTGCAGTCATTTCAGAAGGAACTTCAAACCCGCTGACGCCACGCGTCGTGAGAGATGTATAGACTATACCACCATTTCCACCAAGTCCACTATATCTATGATTGGTTTTTCACTCAACAATTCTCTTTCAGGAAGAAAGCATGTCAGATCCACCGCGAAAGCTGCTTCACAAAAACCCGGAATTCTATTTCGTGTGAATATCTACTTTACACATCATTAGCTTCCTAGGATCCACAAAGCATAGATACGGCCTGTTTCAGAATACTGTTGCCACATTTTGGGTTCAATACCCGAACATACTCTGCTAATGATGCTCTTAGATTCCATCCAGAAGAAAGCCATTCGCCGGGTGGGTGATGCCACACTGATTAACCGTTTGATATCATTGGAACAATGTAGAAAATTCGGCCAACCTACTCTTTGCTATGGATGCTATCATTCCATCATAAGCAGTACCATCCAGCCGAATAGTACAATAAGCCCAGTCAGTAAACCTTTTCCTTGTCAATCTTGAAATGTGTAGATTAACATTTTACCAAAACTCGTATATGTCTACAGAACGACTCAATTTTGAAATTATATCCCAAGGAAAGTATTCTCAGGAACTTATTATCTCCAAAAGTTCGAAAGAATTCCATTACCTACCTTCTCCTTCTATCCCAAGGTACGCACGATATTCTTCGAACATCATAGGGATTCCCTTTTTTTCGCTCCAAGAGATAAAAAACGTAACGACGCGTTAGGATGCCTAATCATAGAAGTGCGTGCAGAAAGTATCATCCATACTCCATAGAAGGTTGGACCTGATGTTAACTTATATTCATCTTGGTATATCATTTCGAGTGTATCTATCAATTTGCATTCATTAATGGAGACACTGACTTGATTTTTCCAGGAGAATGAGCAATTTTTATATGTTTCAACAGAGTAATTTTGTTATGCTCTGAGGAAACGCTACCTTCCGAGTACACCTACTTCATGTCTCCTTTCAAACCTCATTCGACGTTATTTGGAACATTCAATACACAACTACTACAAGCGATGATTTTGCATGAAATATTGTTCTGGTAGTTCGATGAGCCATCTTGAAGACACGTTTGGAAAGAAATATCATAATTCAGTCGCTATAATAATGCAGAAAGAGTCATCAAATCTCCCTTTGCGCTGTTGAAAGCTCAGTTGGGCGTGTACACCTTAGTAAAACTTTCAACTCAAACCATGTTTATAATGATCCTTTTATACATGAATAATGAATGACGACAAAATTCGATCGAAAAATTAACTGGGAACATTTAATTTTTGGGCATAAATAATAGTACCTGAAAACGGACCCTCTTATGACGTAGAAACCTCATCTCGCCATAGTTAAAAGAAAATACCAAACGCCCGACGGAAACTGAGGCAACTGATATGAATTCTTTCAACTGTGATCTCGCGCTAATTCACTCTGTCAGAAATCATGTAGCTATCATTTATCTCTGTCTGGAATAGTTTTGTTTCAGTATTAGGATTTTGACGTCACATCATCGCTTCGTTATCAGAGGTCCAAAAAATCGGAGATTTCAATAATTTTTTATGAAACGTCGGGAGCTCACAGCGGTGGTGAGCTAGTTTGGATAAGTTCTATCGAATTATGAAATAAAAAATTCTTGTGATATGAGCTCATCATGTGGTATTCACTATTTCAATTTGATTCAATGAATTTGTTATAGTTTCTCTGAGAAATAAGGAAATATCTTGAGAGATATCGAATTCATATCATTTTCCCTGTTGACTGTAAATCATCTTATGAAACATTCTCAAGATATGCGAGTTCACTTGACTATGCCATTTATCATCAGGTAGTATATAATATCGCAGACTCATTGTGTCTAGAGTGCGTTGGAACATTATGAAAGACGGTTACTCTATGTGAGATATGAAAAATCGATATCTCTTGAAGAACAAAAAAATTCCACATATTTGCAATGGTTTACGACCAAAAAGCTTATATGCTCTTAATTACATTGAGAAATATCATAGATGAGTAGTACTGAAATGCACAGTCGTTGTGGCGTTTTTGTGACAAGGAATGTATGTGATTGTGAGCTATAGATATCCAGAACGTTACAGCGACTACATACTGTCCTCATGTGAAGTAGTTTTATCAAAAATTCCAACTTGGTCGTTATGACTATACAATACAGGGTGTTTCACAGGTAAAGGGAAATATTTCAATGGTAGATAGGGGTCACCACGGTGGTTCTGAAAATACCATATTTGATAGGTCTTAGAGTTTTCATAACGGAGATACAGGGCGATTTATCGATTTCGAATAATTATTCATTCGTCTATAAGTATTGAACTACCCAGTATATTTTTCTAAAATTTGGTATAAAGCTCAAACTTGGGACGTTGAATTCATTACCTATCAGGCGAAGAGAAAATCCAGGTTCGGCTTCAGGAAAAATTCACATTTATTCGAAATATCAAAATAACACACTGTATGTAATAATTGACAGAGTTCATCGAAGGAATCGTGAAGAGGAGGAAAAACTGAACTGGATTCGATGCTTTTTGTTTTCCCGCCACCAATTCTTATCGTAACAATCATAAACAGGAAGCTAAAAGTATGTCAATTTCAAGAGTATTAAAATTATTAAACCACTTTCAATTATGATTATTTGATATATTCTTGTTAAATGATCGTTCGAAAGAACTTACTTAGTCTCACAGTCTTTATAACAGAGATACAGGGGGAATTATCACTCATCCATAAGTATTAAACTACCCATCGCAGTAATATTTTCTCAAATTTGGTATTGAGCTTACTTGGGACGATGGATTCATTGACCTATCAGGCAGAATGGAAATACAGGTTCAGCTTCAGGAAAAGTCTCATAGTCTTTATAACAGAGATACAGGGTGAATTATCGAATCATAATTCCGCCTGATAGGTTAATGAATCCATCGTCCCAATAAGCTACATACCATGTTTGAGAAAATGTTACTGGGTAGTTTTATACCTATGGACGAGTGAATAATTATTCAAAACCGATAATACACCCTGTATCTCCGTTATAAAAACTGTGAGACTCCTTTCGAGCGATTTTTTGACTAAAATATATCGAATTATCATAATTGACACTGGTTTCATAGTTTCAATACTCTTCAAATTGACATACTTTCAGCTTTCTGTTTATGATTGTTACGATGAGAATTGATGGCGGGAAAACAAAAAGCATCAAATCCAGTTCAGTTTTTCCTCCTCTTTACGATTCCTTTGATGAACTCTGTCAATTATTACATACAGTGTGTTATTTTAATATTTCTAATAAATGTAAATTTTTCCTGAAGCCGAACCTGGATTTTCACTTCGCCCGATAAGTGAATGAATTCAACGTCCCAAGCATAAGCTTTATACCAAATTTTAAAAAAATATACTGGGTAGTTCAATACTTATAGACGAATGAATAATTATTCGAAATCGATAAATCGCCCTGTATCTCCGTTATAAAAACTCTAAGACCTATCAAATATGGTATTTTCAGAACCACCTCGGTGACCCCTATCTACCATTGAAATATTTCCCTTTACCTGTGAAACACCCTGTATATGTATCTGCCATTCGACTTTTTTTGTTGCGTATATCCGAGTTATATCGTTACAAAAATAATTATGCCAAAGCAAAACAAGCGAACAGGCACATTTCAAATTATACCAAGGACGAGTAGGGTATTCAGATCCACATTAGTAGCTGCCTCTACGACATCTCACTACGAAATATCTTTATTGTCGCACATGCTTGTCCCACGAAGAATTCCTTCATGTTCTTGATACTTGGGATTTGACGTGTTTATATATTTTGAGTACGGACACTATCACAAGTACTGACAAACAAACTTAACCATCAATGAATCGATGATAAAAGCTTACCCACTGTGTTTTGACAAATGTAACTTCTTCGTATTTCTCAAGTTTGTAGATCTATTATGTCTTCTTGATATCAGACATGCATTCTGTATAAGGTTGAAACATTATATTTCAAATCATCAAAGGGGATTCGAAACGTGCAAAAAATTTTCATTGAATTCTTGAATATTGTAACTACATAATTATATAATAGTGAATCTGATATTTGAAAAGACTTAGAGCATAATGGGATTTAATATTTTATTTTAAATTAATCTGAATAATACACCCTTCAGTACAAATGTGGTTTGTACGATCCATCGTCATAAAGGTTCTCGGTGTAGTCATGGACATATTGCCCTTCCAGCGATCCTGGTACGATCAGGTGACCAGGCTGAGCGGTCCATGGAGCTACAACTGGTCCTGCAACGAATGACCTCCCAGTAGCAATAGTCCCTGATGGTCCAGCTATGACTGCATCAGTGTGTGCAGAATGAGCAACAACAGGGCTAGCATGAGCTACAATTGGGCTAGAATGAGCTACAACAGGGACAGAGTGGTAAGATAGAGCAGGGGCAGCTACAACTGGACCAGCGTATCCTACTTGTCCTGGGTGTTCTTCAGTTATGACCTGTCCACCTAGTGCTGCAGCTGAGATGACGCTTCCGTCAGGTCCTACCAAAGTCGTTCTTGAACTGGGGCCCTGCAGGATTTTGGTTGAGGGAAGGAAGGGTCCTGCATTGGCAACAGCTAAGCAAGCTAAGGCAATGACAACCTAAAAAAACATATGAATTTATACACATCATCTGTTGGGTCCTATGATAACATATTGTGTCCATTCCTCTATCTGGATCAACAACGTCATTCGATATGAAGGAAAGGTCAAGAATTGAAAAATATGTTACCTTGACAGATTAATATTATGAGAATTTTGCACAAATTGAATTTTCATTTGGTTGATGTTATGTCAGAAATTTGGAATTTTTTTTTATTACATATTGACTTCTCAGGAAGTTGAAAACAGTGAGGTTCAGCATGAAGTAATCTCCGTCATTCGCTTAAATATTGTGCATAATTAAATTTCAATTTCGCTAAATACCATTCAATATCCAATAAAGATATCATCAAGAAATATAATTTCATGATAGCAATCAGTAATTATTCAGGATGTCGATGTATACATAATCTTTTTCGAAACTTACTTGGGCGTGCATGTTGATTGATAAGTTGATATACCTACTTGTGAATGCAAGTGATGGCGAAAAATTCGGTGATATCCAATTTATACTCAACCACTGTCCTTGTTGGATCCGTCAATGAACTGGCAGTTTAATATCAATTCCGCTTCAACGCTCTAGAATAGAGGTTCGTTCCTCTCCGAATCATTCGTCACGATCAAGGAACCAATGCAAGATTATCAGTCACCAATGAAGAAAAAATGTATATCGACATGAGAGAAAGTGATCAAATGCTCATGCATGCAGGTGATCCTGTTTTATGTATGTTTACTGAGTGTTTTCTGAATTCTCTCTCCGTTCACTATCAAGACAAATTTTGAATTATTTTTTCCCTAAAGTCGCTTAGTTATGAGAATACAATATGTGAAAATTTTGTTTCCAATCAAGTTTTTTATTTTTATACATGCTCCACCCAATCTTGATGAAAAGTGGTAATGTTCTTAATTGAAATAGAAGGCTCATTCAGCCACTATCAGAGAAAATATCATCAAGTCCAGTGGCATCCAGAAGGGCACTTTGAACGATATTATTGACAATAAAATGTACGTCACTGACTTTTTTTGTAATCTGAATATTTCTATAATATGAAGCAACAAATATAACATTTCTTCATCACCAAGTTGTTTTGTATATCGCTTTGTTTTCGAGATGCAAAATAGAAACCACTCTGCAAGCCCATCAACCACATAAACGCCATCATAAAATACGAAAAAATATTTTTTCTCAAATCGCTCGCAACAGTGATCTTATTTCAAGGCAAGAATGAGGTATAAAAGTGTTTTGAATGATGCTACGCTTTCTATTTGAGAACAAAATTGAACACCTCGTATTTTGAATACTGAGCGACAGTCGAAAAAAAAAATATTTCACAGTTTTGTCTTGAAATTGGTGATAATTCGGCCCTTTACTATTGTGAGAAAGGTTAGGAAATACCCTATATATATATTTTCTGCAATGAATTTACTGAACGACATCATAATACGTTCTTTGTATACGAACAATATGCGAAGTGATACTTCTTCTACTACTAGCGAAGTAAAATAGTGATCGGAATACATACTTCGCGCACTGCTTGTAAACTATGTGGGAATTTTGTATTTCAACTTCCATGTTCCTCAATCAAGCAAAAATCAATCATCGATAATTTTTAAACATTCAACAATAATTACGGCTCCTCAGGCCATTTTAACACTATTTTGTATATTGAGCAAAGCATATACCTATTACTTATTTTCAAACAACTTCATTTGACGTTTGTAATAAAGTTTTTGGTGATCTTGACTATTATTTCAACTTATCTGCGCCTCGATAAAATAATCAGTTCATGATCACTAGAGTAGCATTCTGCGTACTTGATACAAGAGTTACTTTTTCAAATAGGTCAATCTGGAAAAAGTATTATAAATTTCTTCATACCAAATGACATCGTGTGACAAAGTATCTGAAAATGTTTACTCATCAGATAAGTTGGGCTTCTTAGAAAGAATTATAAATTTCAAGAAAAATTCCATCTCAGTGTACCTGTACAAGTGTACATACATACATATTTCATTGAATTTATCATTCTTTTTTTCTGCAACGATAGACATCGCAGATGAATAATTTGATTTCACTTGTGCGTTAAATTGATCAGTAAGTTTCGAATGAATGAAAACATATATATTGGGACCAATAAAATCATCATCAATCCAACAGCAATTTCACATTGATTCAAATATGTGAGTACTCAATTGATACACACCCTCCAACCTGCAATCCTTATACATTCTGAAATCCTTCCTCTGACGAAAAATGCCAAACCTTTGCCGTTTCAAAAACGAATGAGTTTTGATAAAGAGTTTTTCAACATACTCGAGGTTGACCAGGAATGGGGTATGCTGATCAGGCTTGTAGAATTCGTCTAGCTGGTATTGCTAGTGATAAAATGATTGCCGGGATTTCTGAAAATCATATCCGGTGAAAGCACTTATAGAAAAGTGGAAGGTCGCTGACTTTCCTCTAGTGTTCCGATGAATTCAAGTTATCAGTAAGTAAATACTATATCCAACCATATGAATGACTCATCTATACGGAATCTGAGAGTGCTGAACTTCATATGTAGGAACAGTATTTTGTTAAGGTGTAAACTAGCTGGAGGTACCTACCAAACATTGTTATATCAGGCATATCGAGTTTGGCATCGATAGAGAGAAAACAAGCTTGTGCTCTGATGGCGTTGAATTCCACAAGTTTGATGGTTCCCCAGGTTGTATCACCTATGAGCAAAATCTTCAATGACAACGTTGACTTGCCTCGTGGAAATAATTCTCTCATGTCAATCCAGGTTCATATGAATACAAACCTAAACATTGCCCTAAACATTGCCATGTACCGATACATATTTCCACTGTTGAATAAAATGTAAAATCCACTGATGTTTCACTCCCCATGAAAGCACTTCATAGGCTTCCTTCCTTCTCCGAATATCAAAATGAAACTTCGATAATTACGATATATACTAGAGGTGCTCTAATGAGAAATAATTTGAAAGTGGATTCTATAGAACTAAGAATTTCACCGGAATATTATGTAGTGGTCATAGCCGATTTAGTCTCTTGCGATGTTGCTATCCATATGCTCCATCTGTTGTGATTCGATAGACGACCTGTATATATTAGTGAGGGTCATCAAATTTGATATAACTTCAGTAGGTCTATAATGCTCCTTCAGATTTGGGGAATTTACTTTTATAATCAACGTTATAGGAGTGCTTCAATTTTTAAAATTGGACGATGAATGGTCAAGTCATATGTCATTCGGAACGTATTCCAATTCCACACACAAAACCAGAGTTCCAGGAGGAAATAATCTTCAAGCGAAGCAATGTGGCTACTGAAAATATTGAAAATGTCATTAAAATATTTTTCGATATGATAGAAATATTGGGGAATTCGGTCACTTGGTCTACAAGTAAAATACTTTATCTATATGCCAAGCTTTCGATATAATCAATTCGTGTTATGAAGTAGCTATATACAATTCGAATGAAAAGAAGAAACCCAGATGACTATAGACTTGCTCCAGTTTAATATCTGACTCTCTTTTGGCATCTAGAAGAGTTCTGTTCTCGATGCAATGTCGGACTGAAATCATCTTGAACGAAATAATGAATAAACAGTGTTGGTAGATATTTCCCAATGCTGCTAAGACTGAATAAATTGGAAGACATTATTTGAGAATGACTATCAATTGACTACCATTTCATTCATTCGTGGTCCGCTTATATCTCGCAAATACTCACTTCATGAGTCCAGATACTGAATCGAGTAGCTAATCTCACTCTGACAAAGATGCCTACTATACAATTGAATGGACCTGATACACGGGGTACCGCAAAAAATCTTCAAATACCTCATAACAATGCATAGTAACTTATCACCATGAAGGGCCGTGTTGTAACTTTCATGTCATGTTTGGGATAACTTTATTATCAGACTGAAACGTCATCGTCTTATACCCAAATGGTGAATAATGGACGTGAATAAACGTGAGTGATATAATGTAATATGCACGTCATTATTCTCATCATATGACGTGATTTCATGCCATAACCTTCATCATTTAGTGACATGACAAAGAGGAGGAGGTAGTCTGGGGCTATGACACAAGGATGAACTATGCTATGAAATGTATAAATCTTTGATCTTGTACAACTATCACAATATGCACGGATGCAGTCCTCATAAGTCACCGGTACCATTTCGCTTTCATTGATGATTTCCAGAATAAGTTTTATGGTGTCAGTACTATGATATACTCGCGAATAGGATTACCCATAACCATCCAACAAGCATGGCTGCTTTTTCACGTCAATGCTTATGAGGATGACATTTGCTTTTCACTGAGCGAAGGATTTCGCACTGTCAATAACCATGCAGACAACATCTTGAACTAATGAACATATTCGAAAATTATGTTCAGATTCTAGTGAGTGTTGAGGAGTTCATGGAAGGAATGTTGTTTGCATATTGTGTGCCTGCTCGTAGTCAGTATACAGGGTGTAAATTTGAAAAGGATATTTTATTTGATCAGATGTTCAAAATGCATTTCATTCTGTTGTAAGCAATAGTATAATCGATGTTCGAATGCCATTCTAACATTTTGGAACACATCTCTTAGAATATATCGGCATTCTGCATTTTATTTCATTCGACTTCATGTTTTCCGTTCACCCTGTAGTGGGTGGAAAATAAGTCTTGTACAGGTGAATACTACTGACTGAGACCGTTCATTTGGGGTATCACAAAAGAGGTAGTGTCATTTGACATTTCAAAGATGGAGTGTGTCGCGCCGACAGGGTGTCTCATCCCTTTACTGAAGTATGGTGGTTCTAGTTAACCCTAACTCTGTAGCATTTGTGCCAAACGGCGTTTTCCTTACTGTTTTATTTAGCGAGATATTCGCATTGAAAGTTTTCAAATTTAGCCCCTCGAATTAATGTTTTTCGTTCACCCTGTAGTGGGTGGAAAAAATGTCTTGTACAGGTGAATACTACTGACTGAGACCGTTCATTTGGGGTATCACAAAAGAGGTAGTGCCATTTGACTTTTCAAAGTTGGGGTGTGTTGCGCTGACAGGGTGACTCATTCCTTCACTGAAATATGGTGGTTCTAGTTCCCCTTAACTCTTCAGCATTTTTGCCAAGCGGCGTTTTTCTAACTGTTTTATTTAGCGAGATATTCGCATTGAAAGTTTTCAAATTTAGCCCCTCGAATTAATGTTTTTCGTTCACCCTGTAGTGGGTGGAAAAAAAGTCTTGTACAGGTGAATACTACTGACTGAGACCGTTCATTTGGGGTATCACAAAAGAGGTAGTGCCATTTGACTTTTCAAAGTTGGGGGTGTTGCGCTGACAGTGTGACTCATCCCTCCACTGAAATATGGTGGTTCTAGTTCCCCTTAACTCTTTAGCATTTTTGCCAAGCGGCGTTTTTCTA